GTGTCCGAGGTAGACACACTCGAGGGCGCGAGGAGCGAGCTTGCCGTGGGTACGATCAGATGGAGGGATAAGCACATATGCCTTGCAACCCCAGACACGGAGACCAGCGGCGTCAGGTTTGGTGCCCGACCAGAATTCCGTGGGGGTGGTGGTAGTGTGGTGAGGATGGGAGTGAAGGTTGAGGAGGAGGGCAGCATGGAGGAGGGCATAGCCCCAGAGAGAGGGAGGGGTGGAGGCGTGAGCGAGAAGACAGCGGGCGATCTTGGTGATTTCGCGAATGCGGCTTTCGGCGACGCCGTTCTGCTGTGGAGAGTGGGGAAGGGTGTGGGTCTGTTGGATGCCATGGGTGGTGCAGTAGTGAGAGAGAGTGCGATTGAGGAATTCGCCTCCCCCATCGGAATGTAGGCGGCCGATGGGACGCTTGAAGTGGGCGCGGCATTGCTTTGCCCAGTTGATGATCATGGTCGGCACCTGGTCTTTTGTGTGGAGGAGGAAAACGGTGGAGTAGCGACTGTGATCGTCAACAAGGACCAGCATATAGCGATGGCCTTGATGTGAGCGGGTGGGGGAGGGTCCCCAGAGGTCCATATGGACAAGGTCAATTGGAGCAGGAGCAAAGGATGGGTGGTTGTGGTGAGATTGTTTGAGTTTGCCGTGGATGCAGGAGGGGCATGGGGGGGCCGGGGAGGAGGGAAGGGGAGGAAGAGTGGGAGGGAGGCTGTGAAGGAGCCGTGAAGTGACGGCAGTGCGGAGAGCGGCAAAATTCGGATGGCCGAGTCGGTGATGTAGGAGAACAGCGGGGTGGGTAAGATGGTCGGAGGTGGAGGGGATTGGAATGAGTGAGGGCGGGATGGAGGAGTGGGGAGATGGCGGAGTGGGAGGGGAGGGAGGAAGATGGGGAGGGCTGGTGGAGGTACCCGCACGAGTGGTAACATGGCAGGAGGATGGCCACGGAGTGCGGAGAGTGTAGAGGCGAGTGCGGGGGCAGAGGGGTATGCGGAGGAGGAAGCGGCCGGAGGCAGTGTGGTAAAGGTCACAGTAGGTGGCATTACCAGGATAGACGGCAGTGATACCTGCACCTTGGATTTCACGGTGGGAGAGGAGGTTGTTTCGGAGAGTGGGGATGTGGAGACCAGTTACCTTACCAGAGGGGAAGAGTGAGCAGGGGAGAGTGGAGAGGTGTGTGCATGGGATGGTGAAGCTGCTGTCAGCGCCATGAACCTGAGTAGGAGGAGAGAGGGGTGTGAGTGTACCAGCATCTTTGAGAGCGGTCTCAGTGGCCCCACTGTCGAGGACAAAGTCCAGAGTTGGTGAGGAGGAGGAAGAAGACACTGAGTACTGGAAAGTGGTTTCATTAATGTTGGATGGGTACATGGAAGGAAGAGAGGGTGAGATAGCAATGTTGCCAAGAAAGCTTTCCTGAGTGAGAGGGGTGGCAGTGCCACTGGGGGGTGGAGCACCCCAAAGGGGGGCCGGTGAGGCCTGAGCGGCTATTGCTGCGGTGCCAAAATTCGGCTGCTGCTGCTGCCAGGGAGGAGGGCTAGGTCCCCACTGGGGCTGGAGTCCCGATCCCCATGGGTGCTGCTGCGGCTGCGGCTGCTGCTGCTGCTGCGGCTGCTGCTGAAACAGCTGCTGCAGCTGCTGCTGCTGCTGCTGCTGGAGGTGCTGCTGCTGGAGGTTGAGGAAGGGTGTGGGGGGAGCAAGGAGGCGGAGGTGGGCAGGGAGGTAAGCGGGGTTGGTTTGGATGTCGGCAGGGGAGGGACGTGGGGAGATCGTACCCCACTTTGGAGGAGTGCCAACGTTACCCTGTGCGTACCAGGCATCATCGAGAGCTTTAAAGCAAGTGCCAGGGGGATGGTTGGTCTGCCCGCAGGGTGTTCCAGCCCGGGGACCATAGCGGCGGACATAGGTGCAGGGAGGAAGCGTGCCAGGGCGACTCCCGCGACTTGCAGAGGCTCCACCGAATTGGTGGTGCCATGCTCGTCCCCGGTGGTGCCACCACGGCTGCTGCTGCTTCCTTGACCACCACCCCCCTTGCCCCCACCCCCCCCTTTGCCGGTGTTCTTACCCTGTTTGCGGGGCTGGGTAGCGTTGAGGGAGGGGGAGGAGGGTTGGGAGGAGGCGAGGTTGACAATGGGGGTGCGGAGTTTGACTTCGGTATCAATGATCCACTGTTCAACGGAGGCGAGATCGGCCATGGGATTGGCTTCGGTAAAGGCGTGGAGGCGGGATTCGTAGTCTGGGGTGAGGTTAAAGAGGAGGCGGTGGATTTGAAGAGGTTCGGAGAGGCCGGCTTGGCGGGCTTCGAGGCGGTCAGCTACCTCTCTCATGCGTCCGACATAGTCGACTGCTCCGTCACAGGTAGCGAGGGTGATTGAAAAATATTCTTGGAAGAGGATGCCGACGGAGCTGATGTCGCGGCGCTCAAACATGGCATGGAGTTCTGCCTAGGTGACCGAGGCACGGAGTTCCCGAGCCTGGAAGCGGCGCATGAGGGAGTCAGGGAGAGCCCCAAGGAGAACGGTGCAGGCACGGGTGTCAGCAGCTGTCCAGGCGATAAGTTTGGGGGTGAAATCAGCCATGTCGTCTTTGTAGTTGGCGACGACGGCGAGGTGAGCGTTGCGGCCAGCAACCGCCTGATCGTAGGCCTCAACTGCTGCATCGTACTCGGCTTTGCGGATTAGGTATGCACGGCGGCGTAAGGCGAAATCTGCATCAGCGGTGGCTTGATCGGCGGTGAGCTGGAGGTCGGGTTCAAGAGGAGGATCGCCAGGGGAGGGAGGGAGAGGAGGGGTCTGGCCGGGGTGGTCAGGCTCGGTGGGGGGGAGGGCATGGGGACGACGGAGGACGACGTCAAGGACGCGGTAAGGGGGGACCCATGCGTCAGAGAGAACACGTCGGATGCTGCCGACGAATGAGTGCCTGTTGACGGCAGATTTGTCCGCGGCAAGCTGTAGTTTGTCGATGGACGAAGTATCAATAGGAGGAAGGAGGGGGGAGGGGAAAGGTGTGGCGGTAGCCATGAGGGACGGCTGCGGGTGGACCCGTAGCGGTCACGGAAGGGCGGGAGGAGAGGCGGCGTCGAGGCCGCGGAGGGGAGGGGCGCGGGCGGCAGCGGCTGGTGAGGCCGCGGCGATGCTGGCGCGGAGGCGGCGTCGAGGCCGCGGAGGGCGAGCGGCGCAGGCGGCGGCGGCTGGCGAGGCCGCGGCGGCGCTGGCGCGGAGGCAGCGTCGAGGCCGCGGAGGGGAGCGGCGCAGGCGGCGGCGGCTGGCGAGGCTGCGGCGGCGCTGGCGCGAAGGCGGCGTCGAGGCCGCGGGTAGGGGGAGAGCGGCGCGGGCGGCAGCGGCTGGCGAGGCCGCGGCGAAGCGGGCGTGGAGGCGGCGTTGAGGCCGCGGAGGGGAGCGGCGCGGGCGGCAGCGGCTGGCGAGGCCGCGGCGACGCTGGCGCGGAGGCGGCGTCGAGGCCACGGAAAGGAGCGGCGCAGGCGGCAGCGGCTGGTGAGGCCGCGGCGAGGCGGGCGCGGAAGCGGCGTCGAGGCCGCGGAGGGGAGCGGCGCAGGCGGCGGCGGCTGGCGAGGCCGCGGTGGCGCTGGCGCGGAGGCGGCGTCGAGGCCGCGGAAGGGAGCGGCGCAGGCGGCAGCGGCTGACAAGGTCGCGACGAGGCGGGCGCGGAAGCGGCGTCGAGGCCGCGGAGGGGAGCGGTGCAGGCGGCGGCTGGCGAGGCCGCGGTGGCGCTGGCGCGGAGGCGGCGTCGAGGCCGCGGAGGGGAGCGGCGCGGGCAGCAGCGGCTGGCGAGGCCGCGGCGATGCTGGCGCGGAGGCGGCGTCGAGGCCGCGGGAGGGAGCGGCGCAGGTGGCAGCGGCCGGGGAGGCCGCGGCGAGTCGGGCGCGGAAGCGGCGTCGAGGCCGCGGAGGGGAGCGGCGCAGGCAGCGGCGGCTGGCGAGGCCGCGGTGGCGCTGGCGCGGAGGCGGCGTCGAGGCCGCGGAGGGGAGCGGCGCGGGCGGCAGCGGCTGGTGAGGCCGCGGCGAAGCTCGCGCGGAAGCGGCGTCGAGGCCGCGGATTGGCGCGGGCGGCGGCGGCTGGCGAGGCGAGCGCGGAGGCGGCGTCGGGGCCGCGGAGGGGAAGGGCGCGGGCGGCAGCGGCTGGCGAGGCCACGGCGGCGCTTGCGCAGAGACGGCGTCGAGGCCACGGAGTGTCGCAGACGGCGGCGGCTGGCGAGGCCGCGGCGAGGCGAGCGCGGAGGCGGCGACAAGGCCGCGGGAGAGAGTGGCGCGGGCTGCAGCGGCTTGGGAGGCCGCGGAGCTGCGGAGGGAAAGGGCGCTAAAGGGAGGAGGGCGGGGGGATAGCCGAGAGGAAAAAAAATGAGGGAGGAGGCCGGGGGTTGCGGCGGCCGGGTGGGCGTTTGAGATGAGGGAAGTAGGCCTAAGAATATAAGCTCTATACCATGTGAGAAGAAGAGTTAGGAATGAAGTTGATGGTTGGATTGAGAAGGATGGGGATATACATAGGGAGTGAGTTGGATACTAGCCTAGGTGAGCATTATTGGACCCCAACCAAGAAGTTGGGTTGGGAGATTATTGGTGGGGTCCAATAATGTTGGCCAAGTTGGGGTTGGGCCAACATTATTGGAGGGGACCAATAATTCTACCCAACCCAACCTTTGGGGTCCAATAATTGGACCAAGGTTGGGTTTCCAACCTACAAACTGGGTTACCCCGACTTGTACACCCAAACTAAGTTAGGGTGCTTAACTCTAGCCTATCCTATAGCATATATGCAGGTTACAAGAGGAGAGATATTCTAACAGGCGGAACACAAGAGGGGAGAATAAATATGTGGGGGAGAGACAGAACGATAGCAAACGATTGAGGTGGAGATTAAGGAGAGTGATGCAATGAGAGTCCGTTCAGTACAAACACACGCATGCTCTCGTTCCATTCTCCCCTTCCGTCTCATGACCCCTCAGCTCGCCCCACCAGTCAGTCACCACACCACGCATCCTCACTCTGCTCGCAGCACAGCAGTGGAAGAGCACATGGTACACAGCAGGCGTGAGCAGCCTCTTGGGGGAACAGTTGCCACCCACCCACCCACCCACCCACCCACCCACGTTGCACGGCACGTCACATGTGACTCACTCACCTCGGAGCGCAGCACGGCAGTCATGATGGCATGGTACACCGCCGGCGTCAGCAGCCTCTCAGGCGCCAGCTGCAGCGCCCTCTGCATGCCGTACACCGCCCACGCACCCACGTTATTGCGCTCCCCCGCCCCTCTATCCGCCACCACCAACCCCAGCCCTGCGCCCGCCCCCCCCGGCACCAGCCCCAGCACAGCGGGGCTGCTCAGCCGAATATACCCCCCCTCCGCTAACAGCCCTAGGATCGACACCACTGCCAGGAAGATTCCATCTGGGCCGTCCGTGAGGGGGAAGTCGTGTGATTTCGGTGCGAGCAAGGACTGCTCGCCGTAAGCGGAGGCGGCGAGGCGGCGCCCACTGCGCCTGCCGCTGGCAGAGAGGGAGAGCGCGGCTGCTGCCACCATCACATCCCCTGAGAGCCCGTGAGAGCCCTTGGCGCCTGCTGCTCTGCTGCTGGCCAACGGCTGTCGGATGGGCACAGAGGGCGCCACTGTGACGGTGGTCCCAGCGGGTCCCAGTCCCGGGCCCGGGGCGAGAATGCTCATGGGAGACGCTTGGAAGAGCCCTCGCTGCTCAAGCCTCCTCATGATCTCCCCAGCCACGTCCAGCCCCGTTCGAGGCTCAGGGATCCGCTCCTCCCTCTCCTCCTTCGCCTCCCCTGCTGCCTCCCCGTCCGTCCCCCCTGCTCGTGTCTCCGTCACCCCCTCCTCGCCGCTGCTGCCAGCACCTGCTTTCTGCCCATCCGCTGCTTTCGCTTCTGCCTCTGGGGGGTGGGCTCGGGAGCCAAAGGGGTCGAACAACGCTTGCCACGAGGACGGGGTGGAGGCGGCGGGGGTGGCGGGGTTGGGGGTGGGTGCTTTGGGGGAAAGCGCCTGAGAAGTGGTGGTGTTGCTGCTGCCTGCTGGCACTTGCACCTTCAGGTCTGCACTCGGCCCTTTTCCCCCACACCCACTTGCATCTGCTGCTTGTGCTTTAGTTGATGCGGTTGCTGCCATGTCTGCTGCGTCTGAGGCTGATGGAGCACCTTCCTTGTCTCTGGAATCCCCACCGTCCACACCACTGCTATCACCACCTTCGACCGCGCTCCCTGCACTGCCCTGCACACTGCGGGCGCCGTCCTCCTCTGCCACACCTCCAGCCTTACCCTTCACTCCTCCAACCGTCACCCCACCATCGGCCGTCTCCTCCCCCACCACCTCCTTCACATGGCCCACCTCGGCCTTACAAGGCACGGGCACGGGCACGGGGGGAAAGAGCAGGGGGCAGGCGTCGCCCCACTGGCTCTCCCTTAGCAGCAGCGCGAGCAGCATGTGGGCGCCGCCTGCTGCCAGGAACTGCACGGAGAAGCCGGCTGCTCGCGCGGCGTTGGGGTGCGATAAGAGGCGGTACACCAGCAGCAGCACCCGCACCACCTGCCAGAGAGCATCAGCGGGAGAAAAAGCAGGGGCAGAAATGGTTAAGAAGAAAGGGGAAGAGGAGACGAGGAGCTAAGTCAGTGAGTGAGGCATCATGGCTCTCACGCACACGGAGTGGACGGGAGGGCATTGTGACAGCACAGCACAGCACAGCACAGCACAGCACAGCACAGCACCGCACCGCACAGCACAGCACAGCACAGCACAGCACAGCACAGCACAGCACAGCACAGCACAGCACAGCACAGCACACGGACACAGGGCATGGCATCGCAAGAGTAGGCTTCCGGTTTGAGGTTTGAGATTCAGGGTTCAGGGTTCAGGGTTGAGAGTCGAGGTTAGACCTGGTTGGGGTGAGGGCAGTCGAGCAGGAAGGCAACGAGTGTGCGCATGTCGGCCCCCATGGCGCTGCCATTGCTGGTGGCCAGCAGCAGCTCCAGCACGCCCATGACCGCATCCACCAGCGCGTTCACCTCGCCCATCCGCGCATGCTGCCCTGCCACCATCTCCCGCTCCTCCTGCTCTCTCCTCTCCCCTCCAACCTCCGCTCCTCCACGTGCCTCTGCTGCCCCAGGGCTGTTGATGGAAGCAGGAGTGGCAGAGCGAGAGGAGGCGGGGCCGAGGGGCAGGGAGATGGCTTCGAGGTGCACCCAGTAGCAGCGCCGGCACCCATCCAGCAGCACCGGCAGCGCGCCTGCTGCTCTCAGTGTGTGCTGCTCGCGCACTGCCACGGCGGCCAGGGAGGAGAGCACCTGCTGCTGCACGGGCAGGGGGCACGATGCCCACAGAGGCAGGTGCAGCAGCAGGTGCAGGAAGAGATGCGGCTTTAACGGGTCACCGAAGCGTGGGGCCATGGTGAGTGCTGCAGCTGCCGCCGCCAGCTGCTTATCGTACGGCGGCTCATGCACATCCAGGGAACACACCGCTGCAACCCGCTGCTCACTCTGCTCCTTGTCCGCACTCTCACCACCGCCCGCTCCAGCACCACCCGCCACCCCCCTTTGGGCGCACGTAGTGAGCCCATATGCGAGCATGAGCGCGAGCATGGTGGGGGCCCCTCCCTTGATCTCCTCCCTGTTCATGCCGTGCCGCATGGCCCGCCCCACCAGCCCCAGCACGCGCGGCAGCAGCCTCGCTGCAGCCATGGCAGCAGGCGGATCCGCAGACAGAGACAGCGGCAACGGGAGGAACGAGTCCGGGTGCACGGCGTGAATGGCGAGAGTGAGCAGCGCCAGCGGTCCCCCCTGCCCCGCCTGCCAGATGGCCTCCGGCACACGGTGCCTGGCCGCCACATGCACGTGCCCCAGCACTTCAGCCGGGCGCCTGTGCACACCGGCAGCACTGGCAGGGGAGGCGTCCGGGCAGAATCGGCCGAGCAGGAGGCGCGGGTGGTAGAGCAGGTGCAGGCGGGGGGCGAGCTCGGAGTCCAGGCTGTATGCATCGTCTGCTGCCACCATCAGCTGCTCGCTGCTCAGCAGTGCCGGCACACCCGCCCCCGCGCCAAAGCACGGCAGGTGGTCCCCACCGCGCGCGGCGAGGCGCATCATCCTCTCGGCGCCGATGGGCTCCTTGAAGATGTACACCGGCCCCACCTCTGCGAACAGCGGGCACTGCTTGCGCCGCCGCTGCAGCCCCGCCATGGCGGCGGGCGGGTTGGTGCCGATGCACAGGAAGCCGAGCGGGCGCGAGATGCGCGGGAGGTCGAGCGGGAGGGACTCCACCAGCCGGCCGTCCACGTAGAGGCGCATGTGACACTCCGCCTTGCCCAGCAGCGACGGCTTGAACACGTGCTCGAGACCGATGAAGTACCAGCGCTGCGCCTCAAAGGCGTGCGAGAAGTGGAAGGTGCTCTTGGAGCCGCGGTGGGTGGAGGACTCCACTATGAGGTACTCGCGGTGGAAGTACGCCTCCACGCCCTCGCTCTCCGCTGTCAGGAAACTGTACAGCCGCGGCATGTGCATCAGCCCTTCCCCTGCCAGTGCGCTCGCAGCTGCAGCAGCGGAAACCGCGGAGGTGCGGCCGACCTTGGCAGTGGCGGCGGCAGCGATAGCGGCAGCCATGGCGGCGGCACCAACAGCGGAGCTCTCGGTATCATAGAAGGACTCCACGTAGATCCACGTGGCAAAGGCATACCCGTTGCCGAACGGCCACTTGCTGTCGCCGGGCCCCAGCAGCCCTGAGCTCTCGCCGTCCAGCTCGAAGGTGTATGCAGGCGCCCTCACCTCCTCCCCTTCCATCGCCCCCTGCAGCGCATCCAGCAGCGCCCCCGCCTTCTCTTGCCTCACCCACTCCTCTCCCCTTGAACAGCCTCTTACCCCCTTCCCTCCGCCTGCTCCTCCCCCTGCCATCCCGGCTGCCCCTGCGTCTGTTGATGCAATGGAGGCAGGTGGGGTGTTGGCAGCGGGAGGAGAGGCGGTGAGAGCAACAACAGACCCCATCCACTGCCGCACCTCGCCCACGGACACGGAGTGGGACGCCAGAGACTGCAGCGCTGCCAGCACAGGCCGAGCATCCCACGCAGCCTCAGCTGCCCCATACAGCGCTGCACCAGCCTCACCCGCACCCTCCCTTGCGCTGCTCACAATCGGCTCCACCGGCAACGGTGCTTCATCCAGCAGGGCAGCGCCAGGTGGCAGCGAGCCATTGGCCCGCACGCCGCCCAGGAGGATGATGCGGAGGGAGGCGAGGAGGGAGGAGGTGAGGCGAGCAGCAGCGCACATGGCGCGATTGCGCGTGCAGGAGGAGAGGGCCGTGGCCAGCACACGTGCCACGCGCGTGCGAGGGGACCTCCCACTTGCCACCACTGCCCCTGCAGCCCACCTTGCACCTGTCCCCGATCCACCTGCCCCTGTCGCTGCGTCAGCGGGTGCGCGTGCGTCTGTCTGAGCACTCTCAACGCCATCTCTACTCTCTGCTGCCTCCCTCGCTGCGCCATCACTCACTGTTCCACTGGCGCTGACCCCAGGCGGGCGGCAGTCATGGCATGGCAGCCACGGCAGCAGCGCGGCTGCCAGCACAGCGGCCTCAGCAGACATCATGATGACAGGCCCAGGCCCAGGCCCAGGCACCTTGCCATTCCTCCTCCGCTCCGTGCCCCTGCTCTCGCCACTGCCCTCCTCCTGCTCCTCCTGCACCTCGTCCCCCTCGTACCTGCACCCCATGATTGCCAGAATGGTTTCCACCACCACCGCAGCAGCTGCGTCTCGTTCCTCCGCCCCAACTGCACCTGCATCACTCCCTCCGTCCGCTCCCTTCCCCACTCCCTCACTCTCCTTTGTCTCCGCCTCGTCCTTTCCGCCTGCACTCTGCGCCTCTGAGTCTCCCCCTCCCACCGCGCGAATCCCCTCCAATCGGCACATCCCAGCCACCAGTCGCTGCAGCTGCAACACCCCTTTTCCCCCCCTCTGCCTCTCCATCCCTCCATCCCTCCCTTCTCCTCCCTTCGCACCCCTCGCCACCTCCTGCAGAGCCTTTTCAATCACCGCGATCAGCGCGGGAGGCACGTCGGGCGGCGCCATGGCGGAGAGCGAAGGCGCCGCGGAAGGCGGGATCCGCGGAGGAGCAGCGGCAGCAGTGGTGGGAGCGCGGATGACCGCGCTTGTAGCGGCAGCTGCGGCGCCTGCTGCGGCGGTTCTCACGGCGCCCCATGCGCGGATTACCTCTTCCATAACGGACGGCGCCTGAGGCGGGAAGCGTGGGGGGAGCGGCTGGTTGGAAAGAGCGGTTGGGACCGTGCCTATAGCTCGCTGCTTCCCCTCCGCCGCTGCTGCTGAACCCGCAGATGAGCCTCCCTGAGTTAGACCCACCGATCGTGCTGCTGTTTCGCTGCGTTGAATAACATGACTCGAATTTGTCGCCGCAGTCTGCGTTCCTTCTCTTGCATCCATCGCAACAAGCGCAGGGCTCCAAGGGCATGAAGAATGTAGGCTTCCGCAAGGCCACTCCTGCGATACTTACGACGGAGTTACTTGTGGGTGACTTCGGACTCCGGCGACTCGGTTGCCCTATACTTCCTTTCGATTCTGGCGACAACGAGGACTCTAGTTTGTTACCAATGGCGGAATCAATTTCCACCGCGTGTACGTCTGACGTGTTCGCTATGTGCAGGTGTATGGATACGTTTCGATTGTAGTACAATTACTTTTTGGGTTGCGCAGCAACCTTACACATTTGTTTTCACTTTTCGGTTGACTGACCTGAACATTGAAATTCCTCTATCACTTTTAGAAGAAACCACTGTTCACGAAAGTTACACTGAAAGTGAAACCAAGCGTATCCGAATTTTCCATAATCGTTGATAATTGTGGCGAATGGGACAATTGGGCTATTCCCTGTCAAGAATCTAGCAGGAATGAATGAACTATGACAGGGTTTGGTACAAGTACTAACCCTAAACTGGGTTGTACCCCATATAGGCTACCCCACTACAGCCTACACAATACAATGTTTTGACACACCCCCATAGGCAAGGTGGGGGAGCACAAGTAGTCACAGACAAGCAAAGCAAGCTCAGGGTGGATCACGAAGTCACCACACATTCTGAGCACAAGCAAAGAGCCACAAGGCCAGTCCACATGCAGAGTTATATAAAACAAAGCAAGCAGTACAGTGATCACAACCTAGCAAATGTAAGCATGCAAGGATATATATAGATCACAATACGAGCAAGGTCAAGCAGTGAGCAAGTGAGAGAACGTAGGCACGAGGCCTAGAGCAGTGCAGTGACGCTATTGATCACTTGGCGGAAGTGCCTTGGTGAATATATCAGCTGTGTTGGCCCGCGTGTCCACATGAGCAAGACAAAGCTGGCCACGCTGCTGCAACTCTCGAGCAAGAAAGTAACGCAGAGCGATGTGCTTCGTTCTGTGCTCCAGTCTGTGCTCCTGACACAAGGCGAGGGCCGCCTTGTTGTCGCCGTACAGAACTGGAGGAGAACGAGACCGCTCTCCCAAGTCAGTCTGCAGGTAGGTGAGCCAGCGAAGCTCCTGCGCAGCTATGGCTGTGGTGTAGATCTCAGCCTCACAACTGGAGCTGAGAACAGGAGAAGAGCGGGTAGACCACCAAGAAACAGAGCCGGAACCAAGGCTGAAGGTGTAACCCTGTGACGACCGCTGTGTAGCCAGGTCGTCAACCTAAGAGGCGTCTGAGTGTCCAACGAGGACAACGTCACCCCGTCCTCCAAGCACCAGCCCCATGCCTGATGTACTGCACAAATAGCGCAACACCCTCTTAGCATGTCAAATTATATGTGCTGCATATTGTGTAGGCTGTAGTGGGGTAGCCCATATGGGGTACAACCCAATTAGGGTTTACTACTTGTACTCCTGCATGCTGCTAGTTCATCCATTCCTGCTGCTAGATTCTAACATGGTATCAGAGCAGTAGGTCCGTAGGACCGTTTTTTTCGGGCCCACCCTTCGCTAGTGACCGTCTGCGGTTACCGTGCTGCCCCACGCCCTGTTCTGCGTCGCGCCGCCCGCGCGCGCCCTGCCCTGCCTTGCCTTGCCGTGAGAGGCACTAGAGCCCGTGTGCGGCCCCTGCCCTTGCCGTGCGCCGCCCCAGAGCCCGCGCACCGCACCTGCCTGCACGTCGCGCCGCCCTAGAGCCTGCGCGCGGCTCCTGCCTGCCCGTCGCGCCGCCCCAGAGCCTGCGCGCGGCCCCTGCCTGCCCGTCGCGCCGCCCCAGAGCCTGCGCGCGGCCCCTGCCTTCCCGTTGCGCCGCCCCACAGCCTGCGTGCGGCCCCTTCCTGCCCGTCGCGCCGCCCCAGAGCCTGCGCGCGGCCCCTGCCTGCCCGTCGCGCCGCCCCAGAGCCTGCGCGCGGCCCCTGCCTGCCCGTCGCGCCGCCCCAGAGCCTGCGCGCGGCTCCTGCCTGCTCGTCGCGCCGCCCCAGAGCCTGCGCGCGGCCCCTGCCTGCCTGTCACGCCGCCCTAGAGCCCGTCGCGCCGCCCTAGAGCCCGTGCCCTGCCCCTGCTTTCCCGTCGCGCCGCCCCAGAGCCTACGCGCGGCCCCTGCTTGCCCGTCGCGCCGCCCCAGAGCCTGCGCGCGGCCCCTGCCCTAGCCGTGCGCCGCCCTAGAGCCCTGCAGCAGCCGACGCGACCCCGCTAAACCGCCGACGCGACCCCGCCAGGTCGTTGTCGCGGCCCCGCCCTGCCGCCGACGCGGCCCCGCCTGGCCCCGCCCTGCCGCCGACACGGCCCCGCCCTGCAGCAGCTGCCGTGGCCTTGCCCTGCCGTTGTCGTAGCCCCAGCCCTGCAGCTGATGCGGCCCTATTCTGCAGCCGCCCTTGCGGCCTCGCCGTCGCCGCCGTCGTCCGCCTTCCCGCCACTGGTGAGCACCTGCCCTACCGCGCTTCCCGCGCGCCTGCCTGTCTGCCGAGCCTGCCCTGTTACCGCTGCTAGGCTGCTGCTGCTGCTACTGCTGCTACTACTGCTACTGCTGCTACTGGCAGTGGCCAGATGCAACTCCAGCGACGTCCGCGCGAGTCTCTCACGCCCCAGCAGCTCAGAGAGTGGTACGCTGGTTGGGGTTGTGGCGGCAGTCGTCGTGGCTGTCGCCTTGGAGCTGCTCAGTCAGGAGCGTCTGGCAGTGGCCAGCTGCAGCTGCAGCGGCGTCCGCGTGAGACACTTACGCCCCAGCAGCTTCATGAGTGGTACGCTCAGAGTAGAGGGTCTCGGAGTACCGTTCGCTGCCCGTACGTCATTCGCACAGGTGCTCGGGCTGGTCAGGCTTGCGGGACACTTGGTCACACACAGTCCCGCTGCTTCGCCCGTCTGAGCGACGCCTGGCGTACCGAGTTTGGCGACGCGGCTGAGCTCCCCACCTGGCTGGAGCTGCTTAGGCAGAGGGTAGATATCTTTGCTCTTGACTATGATGCTATTCTCACTGCCATGTATGCGTTGCCTACTAGTGCTGACGGTGCCTGTTAGCCTGCTGCTCTAGGTGCTGTTGAGGCTGTTGCTCTAGGTGCTAGTGCGTCTCCTGCTCTAGGTGCTGGTGAGGCTGCTGCTCCAGGTGCTGGTGAGTCTGCTCTTTCTGGTACTGCGCCTACTGGGGCCTTGTACACCTTCACCCTTGACTCAGGAGCTTCCCGCTCCTTCTTTCGCGACTGCACCACACTCACGCCGCTTAGTCGGCCAGTTGCAGTCTCCCTGGCGGACCCCTCTGGGGGTCCAGTCCTTGCCCACTACTCCACGGTTCTGCCGTGTCCGGCCGCCCCGTCTGGCTCGCTGTCCGGTCTCTACCTCCCCTCGTTCTCTACGAACTTGGTGATGGGAGCTGACCTCCAGGATGGCGGGGTTGACCAGTTCACTCCTGCGAGTCAGCAAGTGACTCACTGTACGTGTGCTCGGACGGGCCGACACCTGGCCACGTTTACCCGTGCGCCTGGCTCGAGTCTGTACACACTGACCACTGAGTCCCCTTAGGTAGCTGCGTCTGCGTCTGCGTCAGGTCAGCTAGCGGCCCCCTGTTCCTGCCGCGCTTTGTCGCACCAGACCCTCCTTTGGCACCACCGCCTTGGTCACCCCTCGGTGCAGCGCCTTCGTAGCATGCACCGCCGTGTCCTTGTCTCTGGTCTTCCCAGGGTTCTCCCTCCCCTCCCACCCTCGCCTGCTCCTCCCTGTCTTCCCTGTGTCGAGGGGCGGCAGCGCGCCGCTCCTCACTCCTCCTCGTTCCCTCCCACAGAGGCTCCCCTGCAGACTCTCCACCTGGACGTGTGGGGCCCAGCCCGCGTCCGTGGACAGGGCCACGAGCGGTACTTCCTGCTGGTCGTCGACGACTACACGCGTTACACCACGGTCTTCCCCTTGCAGCGCAAGGGGGAGGTCCCTGATGTTTTGATCCCTTGGATCCGCGCTGCCCGTCTCCAGCTCCGCGAGCGGTTTGGGACGGAGTTTCCCATCCTGCGTCTGCACTCTGACAGAGGTGGTGAGTTCTCCTTCGACCTCTTGGCAGCCTTCTGTGCGGAGCACGGCATCCGCCAGACGTTCATGCTTCCGGCCTCTCCGCAGCAAAATGGGGTTGCTGAGCGCCGCATTGGCTTAGTCATGGAGGTCGCTCGTACCTCCATGATCCATGCGGCTGCCCCCCATTTTCTGTGGCCGTTTGCGGTCAGGTACGCCGCGCATCAGCTCAACCTCTGGCCTCGTGTCTCCTTGCCGGAGACCTCGCCCACACTGCTGTGGACGGGGAAGGTTGGCGATGCGTCGCGTTTCCGGGTCTGGGGTGCTCGTGCCTTTGTCCGCGATACCATCGCGGACAAGCTCTCCGCTCGCGCTGTTCCCTGTGTCTTCCTTGGCTTTGTCCCTGACGCGCCTGGTTGGCAGTTTTACGAGCCCACCTCGCGCCGTGTCTTCCCCTCTCAGGACGTCACGTGTCGGAAATGCTCTGGTGCTGCCATTCCCCCTTGGCTCCCGACGCTCCTGCTTCCAGGCCTCCACCTCCCTGTCTCTCTTGATCACCCAACCGCCGACCTCCCTGGCCGCTGCTGCTGGGACATCACTACCCGCTTATCCACTGAATACTGAGTGCTGCGTAATGGTGTTCCCTGGTGATGCCTAATAGCACTAATTGCCGACAAGCTGGTTCCCTAGCGTGCTCATGACCACCTGTAGTTGGATTAACAGGATTACATTGGAGCAAATGGGAAACATACAACGAAGCAGCCAGC